CAATTTTTTTCTGTTCAATCTTAAATAATCAAATTAAAATATCGCTTATTTCCATACCAAGTCAATGTATGGGTGAGAAATTACAAAACTACTGTAAGGTATTGTGTGTATTGGTATAGAGCTACGAGTTGGCAAGCTCAGTTCAGAGGGCATTAGAGAGACGAGCCTTCTGTTTGCAATAGAAAGTTTATCTACGTGTATCTCTTCTAAACATGGCACTACATATACAGATATACTTCGTAATGCTATAATTCGATTGGTTGGTGACTCTTCTCCCTAGCACCCTCCAAGCCGAGCTTGCCAACTTTTTAGCTCGTTTCATAATAGCTTGCTATACAATACTGTTGGAAATCTAATTTAAGTTGTCTTCTTTATGTAATTATATCGAAATTTTTTTTACATTTTTAAATATCGATTATCATTACGTTATAGACTGGGTATCATTAGACCCATATAAGATTAAAGACAATTTTTTTTCTGGTCTACTTTTTTCCCGCGAAAACATTATTTTTTTACATTATTACTCTACTGAACGTGCAGACCATTGATTGCCTATCCAGCAACTTATAAAAAACAAAAAAAGTTTGCTCAAGCATTATCAGTGTTAAAAATATCCAAAGGAATTGTAATAATACAATGACAATAAAGTAACGAATCTGAATTTTTCGCCCTCAGTAATCACAATTTTTCTTGATAAACTCGCGAATAAAAATACTTTAAAAATAAAATTTGTGGCTAGCCTAACTCGACCAGACTACGCATTTTGAAGCTAATTCTTCTGATGATATATTAGACGTTAGACAATACTAAGCTTTCCTTGATTAGTTTAATTAAATTAACTAGGTAAACTATTCATAAGAAAAATGTTATTATTTTCATAGATAATTACTTTATACGAACTGGAGTGTATATTACCCGAGTAAAGCAATAACATACGTCATAGTGCAGTTACACTTACATTGAAAGTAATTTAAGTATCAATAAATGTGAACTATTATGTTAGATACAAGAACATATCAATTTATACTTATGAAATTTCCTTCCGTAAGGAATAAACTATCAGTTACTATGAAGATAATGTTCTCTAAAAGCAATCATTTTAATCGAATAACGAGATATGTTGGAATTTCTAAGAAAAGCTGCTGAAGCAGACAACTTCTTTCTGATTATTAAAACTGCTTCGAGGGGGGCTGCGCGGTTTTGGGAATGTGCCGTGGAATGGTATCACGAGGGAGAGACGCGAGTTGAAAGCCAGGAAAAGGACTTTTTTTGGCGATCGTTGGTGAGAGCTGTCAGGGATCGAGGGACTCACACTTAACCTTCTCTCGCGTTAAGTAAATTTTAAGTTCATGAGGCAGAACTAGCGTGACACCATTTTTTCTTTCTCCAAGATTTCCCGTTTGGTCGTAAGTAGCACGAGATTTCCGAGCGCATAAGTTGGGATTTTTGTAAAGTCGGTGATATGATGCCGTTCATCTCTTTCTCCAATCGATCTCACAGGACAATATCATTCACGTCGTGATGGATAATTTACGTTCTAAGTTTCATTCAAGTGGAAAACTAGTGACTATCCCAAGCGATATTTTTTTGAGCACGAGGTCTCATGCTTTTTTCCCTTAATTATGTTGTAAGAGAATTTGCGGCACACGTAAAGTTGTAAGAAAGCCATTTTATTAGATTTTCCGAAGTTTAATCAGATCATATGTTGAGTAAAAGCCAACGGGATACTTTAAGATCTTTAATAGATTTATCTTTTTGATTAAGTTAAGGCTTAATTGCCGAACGCTATTTAAATTCGATTTAACTTTACAAATACTATTCGAAATAAGAAACAATTATTTACGCTCATTTCTCTAATGGCATTTTCTCGTTAAAATATCGTTGTATTAGTTTCTAAGTTTATTTTGAGAAATATAAATTCTTTTCTTTAACCTTTGTCTTTATTATTGAACAACAACATATCTCTTCGCGAATTCTAACACTACTCTATAAAGTACATACTTTATGAAGAAGTAGGTGTAGAAAAATTATGTTGAGACAGTAGATTAAATCCAAGAAACAGATCCAAAAGAACACGAACCTTAACAATAACTAAAGAGTACAAAAACTACTAGGTGTGTAGAGAATACAAGGTTAAGTAGACTTTGAAGTGATAATAACACAGTGATGAACATATAAATGACTTGTTATGCAAGCTTCATGCGGTATTAAAAAAAAATATTAGAAGACAATTGATCGGAGGTGAAGAGAATTTTCCAAATATTTAAGGGGAAACGCAGATAAGATAGTAAATGGAAATACAAGGTCAAAATATTAAAGGTATGCAAATACTAAAAAAAAACACACCGTTTCTACTAGACTCTTATGCGGAAATAACAGTTCTGTCACATCCGGCGCCTATCTAGCGAAAACTGTACGAGTATTGTGCAGTTTCAGAATGTGTAACGTCAAAGAAAATTTTTTTTCCATAGCATTATCATGTATAATGACTCCGAATTCTCTGAAAATCTCGTAGCCACGTAAAAATTGGCAGAAAATTTGTTAGAGACGCTATAATTCAAGAGAAACCCAACAGCATGGCTAGTTTTCGCCAAAAGTATAAGACATAGATAGTTTTTATGAAAAATTAAAAAACTTCATACAGGCCATTGACATGTATTAGTTTCAAATTTTTTTATTACTAATAAAATTTGAGCGACTCTAGTGTGTACTGAATGGCAAAGAGGGGGACTGTAGGGTTTAAAATTTTCCGGCTATACTCACAACAGTTTTGCTGCTGTTCCACCTCTTTCTTCTATATGTACTTATTTGAGGCTGTCTGACCAACACTCTTCTTGGCTAATTATGTCGATGCACTCTAGACCATGCTTCTCAGCACTTCACTATTCCCAGGGTCTTATACACAGTTTAGAGTATCTTATAATAGAGCCATTGTATTCAAGTATAATTCTGAATAAAATGCAAGTAGATGCTTATTAAACATTGCTGTCAAGTGATTTATCCAAAATAACCAATAAGTATTTCTAGTCAAAAACTTTATTTCATCCTTTACTTTCACGCAATACAACATCACAATCACAACAAACAGTACACATATTACTTTTTGTATGGTGTTAAGAGTATTTTTCATTATAGTGGATGTAGTTAAAATAATATTAACAGAATAATACATCCAAACCCGAAATAATATCATTAGAGGCATACATTTTTTTTCATTAAAAGATGTTTTAAGCTAACATCTCAAATAAAGATCAACAAATTAAGTTACTGCTCCTCTTTACCAATCCGTGGATAAATAAAACTAAAGAGTAATTTCGACATTATTTGCCTTACTACACAAAGTAGTAAGAGTAAAAAAAAATCCTTTGTACTTTTTTAATTGTTTGGATTGCAAGTTCATTGCGATTTATTAAAAATGTAAAAAGAACACTTTCCATAAATATCAGACAGGAATTAAATTAATTATCATTCACTGACTAATTATTTAAGATTTTAATGTAAATACCCTCTCCTCTTTGTCCCTATGCGATTGGCTCATAACGTGTATGCTTTCAACGCATGTAAGTCTATAGTACACAAGCCTAAGCACTATCCATGGAGGAAACGCATGAAGGCACTGGCTTTTTTTTTCATCGTTCCGATGCGTTTTCAGGAGAGAGGGGATGCCGTACTGTAGTTAGCTATAGTGTATACGTACCTATATATAACTGCTATATTACGGTATCTTCTTTTTCCCAAGAATGCATAGGCATGATGAAAAAAAGGCAGTATCTTCATACATTTGCTCCGTGGCTAGCGCTTATGCTTGTGGGCTATGCGCTGAAAGAATACTCATCATGAGCCAATCGCATAGGGTCAAAAAAGGAGGGAGGCATTTCCATCGACACTTTAAGTTTGCTTCATAATTTTTCTCTTCGTGTGGTCTTGAAGAGTTAAGTTTTTCCATTCGAGTTGGCTCTGTTGTCAAGCAATTAAGAAATTCGACATGCAGTTGAAAGCATTTATTGTATGACTCGCAATCAGTCTTAGCTTTTTCCTGTGGGTCTTGTTGACTGGGAAGGAAGATACGGCGTCTTGGCTGTCTGGATAAGATTGGGTTGCTTGGGTTACGAGAAAGCCAAGACCGGAGCCGACATACAGGACCAGGAATGCTCATGGTAAAGAAGGTTGTTAGAACATTGGTGAGTGCGGTTTGTGTGGCTATACTCTGATTTTAACATGCACAAGGTGCGCAAGACAGGGAGGGCGACGCAGTTCCGTGCCTTTCACTCCAAGTTAATGGCTAACTGGATTCATGCAATAGTGGCTTCGTAGCTAAGAATAGCTAGAGCCACGAGGCACACTTTATGCCCTCCTCGAGAGAATCGAATTAATTAGTGGCTCTAGAGTTCGTGGTCAGTGGCTCCTTGGGGGCATTATACTGGCTCGTCAACGGTGAGCCAGTATTAGTGGAAAAATCAACAGCTGTGCTGAGAACTTTGGGGTACGACATTGGGCACGGAGGTCATATCAGAGGGGCCAGAGCTGCACAGCTATTTGTAGCTTTATGCTTGATATTATGTGCATATACCGAGTAGCCAGGTACAGTGTTACACGATTTAAATTATCATTATTAGACAAAAGCAAAAAGTACGTCTTCTTATTCTTTTTGTAGTGTGTATACATACACAGTTCATGATTTCCAATAGTTTTTCGGTAAGCTAGATACTCCTTAAGGTGTGCTAGATTTTTTCAGCATGGTAAAAATTACAGTTATTGGTTTTTAAAAATTAGTGGGATAAATTTTTTTTTTATGCAACGAAAATTATTCTTTGTTTCCTCACAGGTCTTTTGTTAGCAAAGAATTGATTGGTTCGTCTGACTATCAAACCTTATCAGTGTAAATAGTCACCAATGTAAATTTTATATCCTCAGAGACATTGAACAGTATATATAAATACAATAGTTTTATGAAATACTTGTATAATATTGATCATATCAACGAAAGAAAGAAAACTTACTGTGATCAATGAAGAAAATCCTACCATCCGTATGAACTCTTTCTTCCCAGCCTTCGGGCAATGGTCCCAGCTGATCAATATCACTTCTTGGCGTTGATGAAGATATATTATGCCATGGTATTGAACTTGGTCTACCTGTTCTTGGATCAACCCATGTTGTTGCCCGTTCGTTGTGATCAATGAAAAACATTCGGCCATTTGGTGCTAACTGCATACTCCAGCCTGGTGGCAACCCTTCGCCATTTAACGTTTTCAGACTCTCTATAAGCTTTAATCATACAGTCGATTATTATTGTCAATTAGTTTTTTCAATTTTTGAAATTTAACTTTAAGTTCTTATAAAGTTTTTTTGATGTAAATCTGACATTAGTAAAAAAAATTCTAACAAACAAATTATCACTTAAATTGTATAAAAGTGCACTTTATGTTAGAGACCCAAAAATAATCGACCTCTAGATATGTAGTTATGCTAAAAAATAACTTTATTTTGTAAATTTCAAGCTTTAAATTTATGCATTTAAAGAATAGTACCAACGCATGAAATAGTCATACAAAAAAACTGTACTTCATCGGAGTAAACAAGTTATTTTAATAAATTAGGATCATCTGAATCTGGATATTTGAGGAGATCAAAGCGATGTAGGGTGAAAAAAGTCTTTAATTATAGTGTCATACGTCCGGATACACAAGGTCCTCTACTTAGGGCACTCGACACTTTGGAAAGGGACAAGTTTCCTGCGAGAAGGCTACCTATCCCATTCACAAAGAGTATTGCGTGGTGAAAAAGCACATGTAAAAATTCTCAGAGGTACTTTTCTGAAAAAGTCGCACTGGCCAGGAATCAAACTGCGGTCTTTCACGAGCCAAGTCACGACCTAGCCAACTGAGCCACTCGCGCTCGTAAAAAAAAAATCATGATGATTCGATAATAGTTATGGCGTTTCTTGCCTTCCATAAGGGAAAGTACCCAGTAGTTAGACACTTTTGACAGTTGAAATTTTCTTTGCTGATTTATAAAAAACTAACAAAAAATGATGTTAAAAAAAAAAATGCATTAACTATTTAAAATTTTTTTTTATTTATTAGAAAAAAAAAAAATTTCAGGTTAACCAACAAAGAAAAAATTAATATCAAAGAAAAATCATCAAGACCCAGTATCTGGACACCAGTGTCCAGGTACTAGGACCAACATGAGACTTGGAACCAGTAGTTGGATACCCCATATTAATTAAATGGATAGGAGGTTAGGGTAGACCTAAATTTAAAATGCTTTCTCACATCTCTCCACTACTCAATGATTATAATCTTTTTCACTACATGGTATAGTTTCTGGGCATTATTCAACTTTATTTTGGTTTTCAACAGTAACATTAACATGTTATATTCAGTAATAATCAATAATTTTAAGTGTTTTTTACTGTCCAAGTACCAGGTACAGGAAAAATCTTATGTTATCGAATGGAAGCTATTCTTGGACAGAGTTATTTATATTTTTCGATGTGTTTAACTCTGATAAACTCAATAAAAATTATAATAATATACATTTTGCAAGGTAACTTTTGTTAGAAAATAACTTGAACGTTCTATGCCCAACTATAAACTATAATTTTTAGCGATTTTTTCCGTGTCAAAGTACTGAGTATAGGAACACTCCTATGTTATTAAAGGGATCTATTTTTGGACAGCAATCTTACATGCTTCGCATTTAAAACATATTTTTTTACGTAAAAACGAAAAAGAGTTTTAAAGATAAATTTTTGCATCAGGCATTATTATGCATTGATGGATTATAAATAAATTTTTTTTTCCTATTTAAAAACGTCTACGATTCGAAAATGTTAATTATATTGGACTGTCCAACTACTTGTGCTATTTTTATTTCTGTCCAACTACTAGGTACCTTACCTCATTAGTGTCTTTCAATAATTTTTGGATCTTTTGAGTCAAACTTCCGTATAAAAGGTAATATGCACGCTTGAACTTGTATTCATAACTTGTTGGTTTTGTATTAATTTATTGTTAAATTTGTTTATAATTCCTGGAGAGATCAACACTTTACGAAACATTGGTATACAAAAAACGTATTGTTTATTATATTTGAACGTTTGCCAAAAAGTATTAACCAAAAATTATTTTAAAAAAATTTAATAATGTGTGACATTAACTCTCAAAACCTGTAATGTGGTCCCTGGACCCCTGGCCGAAGTGAAATTTTAAAACCATATGTTACTAGACTCTGTGGTAACTTCAAATGTTGTTAATACTCACATTGTCAGTCTTCCAATGTTTAACAGATAAAACACAGGCGATCGGTAGTTAAAACCAAAAGTCAGTGGGTGCTGGGATATTTAAGTTTGGAGTTATGGTTCTGTGGCTGACGATTTATTAATGTTGATACATTTTATATAAAACAAAGTTTTGAATAACTCACTGCGATGTATCGAACGTGGTGCAATTTTTGTTGGAATAATGATATTCAGTAAGTGGGTATGATTTAAGAAATTGTTAAGAAAATATTATGCAGACAAGAAAAGTACAGAGGCCAGTAAGAAATTGACCGAATTAGTCAAATCTTACAATGATTTTAAAATAACTTTCTACACACTGATAACATCTCTAACGTCGCTCACATCTATTATATATGCTGACATACTTATTCTTGAGTACAACAGATGCGTATATAATACGAATAACATATAATGGCTAAAAGAAGGCTTAGAAGAGCATCATGTAAGACCGCTTTCCAAAAATTGAATAAATTATTATTTGTTTATTTTAGAAACAACAAATGAGTAAAATTAAATAATTTATGTATACAATAAGTATTTATTTATATAAAAACTTTCTTACAATTTTTTGACTAGTGCTTGCAATTTCTAAAAAAAAATCTTTATCTTCTATAGCATGTAGTGCAGTGTTCTAATCCGTACACGTTCCAATTTTCTTACATATTTTCAGTTTAAAAATATTATGCCTCTTGTTGAGAAGGTACCCTATCGTTCTCAAACATTACGTAGTCAACGGGATACGGTAGCCACCTGCATAAAAGTTGAGCACCCGGCTGCAAAGCTATCAGAAAGCAAAGGACATGTTTATCCTCTGCGGGATCTCCGTCCTAGTCACCGTCAACCAAGGCTACCATCCTAGGCCATACAGGGCCTGCTCTTTATCATCTTACAAGGAGACGGCAAGGGGGTAGAGTACTGAAATTGAACGGAGGTTTTGCGTATTATTAATACTTGGTAAGTGTATTCATACACTAAAGCCGTGGAGCACACTTTTTTTTTTAAATGTCAAAAAAGCGAAGAACTTTCTAGCCCATCTATAAGTAAAGATACAATTCCTTCATTATCTTTATGCAATAATAAGTCGAAATTGTTATTAAAAAATTCAGTAGTGTATTATGCTTATTTTTTTCAAAAGTTCTGCCCTGGCAGCTGCTGTGTAATCTTTAACCTTGCCATGGTGAAAATAATGATATCAGATGTATTGAGGAGGGGGGAGGGTGAGAGGGAAGGATCGTTTGACATAAATGCGCCTTACAAATTATCATTTAATACAGAATAAAAAATGTTACGTTTAACGGCGGAACCTTCATTTTAAGCTTTAGTTGTACTAAAACTACCAAAAATTATTAAATAAAGAAAAAAGATACGCAGCTTTGCTAAAGTAGATACCTACTTACTCAGCGATAAAAATTCTGAGATGAAAATGAATTAATTGATATTTGTTTCATTTCTTTTTTTTTTAATCATTTGTCAAGCTTAGTTTTGAGTTATTCTCATCTTTTTATAATTATTCGTTTGCTCAGAAGAGGTCTTATGAATAAATTATCTGTTTTTCAATGCGTGTTATTCTTTCCAAATTTTCTAATGAGTAAATAAGGTGATTTTTATATAGTCAAGTTACTATAACCGGCATGTCACATGCCAACATACAGCACTACTCCATTTAAGATAAAGCAGTACTGCAGACTGTTTTTTCTAAGCCTTCTTTGAAATGTATATTATGGGTATTATTTACTCAATTAAGAATGAGTGTGCATGCATATGTGACAGGTGCAAGCGCAAATTAAGGCTGTGGTTACATGGAATGGAAAGAGCCAGCGGGAAGTCACAGCGTCAGACAAAAAATTTTCGTTACTACCATTTTTATTTGTGGTGCCATTCCATATCCGTTGTGGAAAGTGTGCATTGTGCACATGGAGCGAAACGAAGTGATGCATGGCTGCGGCACTTAACGAAATAGTAAGATACTTTATACCTAACGAATTATACTAAAGGGTCGTCTTGTGATTAAACTTATAGCTCTTACAGTTATGTTTGCATTGCAAAAAAACAAAGAAAGTGATTAATAATTTTTATCAAATGTATCACACCAAAGGTTTGCCACTTAAATGATTGGTTCTCATTGGCTTATGTCTTAACGCATCACTTCGTTCAGCTCCATCTGCACGATTCACACTTCCTACAATGGACACGGAAGGGCGTAACAAATAGAAGTGGTAATGGCGGAAATTTTTCTCTGACGATGTGACGTTCTGTTGACTATTTTAGACCCATGTAACGCAGCCTAATAAATATTACCAGCATAGAGAGTTGTTTTGATTTATTCAGAAGATTCGATGAAAGCGAGCACTTTCGTACTGGCCTGCCTGAAAGTACGTCATGCCATTGATATACTCGGTACTTTTCTTATCTACTTAGTACATTTTTTTTAACTGTTTATTTGTTGAATACTGAAATAATTATCGAAATCATACCTGTTTACAAGAAATCATTATTCCAATAATAATCGTACTACATTTAACACATCGCAGTGAATTGTTCAAAATATCGTTTCGTAAAAGGTGTATCTACATTCGTATACAGTCATACATTCTTATATTGTCTGCCAGAGAAGTATAACTTCATATTTGGATACACAAGTTCCCATGATTTTGAAAGACAGTTGTTTTACGAACCTTTTTCGAAAACTTTTTCGTAAATGTAATTTGATTTTTTACACGACATAGACTGAGTTTGTAAAAAGGCTCAAAAGACATGTTTCATGGTTAAATTTCTAAATTCTGTATTTAATAAAATTTCTGCAGAAATACGTTTGTTGATTTCTGTAGAAATTTTGTCAATTGATATTATATTCAAATAATACGAGCATGAGGTATACATTTTTTTTACAATTCTGTAGTTACAAAAATAACAAAAAAAAATTTTTTTGTTAATACTATTTAATATTTAGTTTAATTTTACATAAAATAATTTTAC